CAAGCTGGAAGTTCATAAAATGACAAAACCCCTAAATCGCCTCCAAAGGTATAAATCACTACCTCTGATGATGGAGATGTATAATAGGTACAGTCGCTAATGGTTTATTAGCATTAATCAATTTCCTGTATTAAAAACAATCTCGTGTCACTATGCAGTATAAAAAATCTCAACAAAGGCTGTTCCAGCACTAAAAGGGGAATTCTGTGTTTGGGTTCCTTCGTGGACTGTGTTTTTAGAGCAGAATTTTTGGTAAATTTAGGTAAATTAGTGAACCACCTTGTTCTTGGCTGCATACCATGCTTGCAAGCCAACTTGTGACCAATAGTTGACAGTATCAGCACCCTCAATCTAATTAACGTCATTAATTGTCTACCAAAAATCTTCCAGTAACACCTTATGCCTTCCAAATACATCCAGAAACACATTACAAAATATTCTTCAGACCCCTTATTCAACTCTAAATTTAAGCTTCGAGCATCACAAGCGCTAAAACCGATCCCACTTCGAACAATTACTCAAATCTGCGTGTTTTTAATAAATAAAACCACTATTCTGGCAGCTAGCCTGGGAGCGCTGAGCAGACCACACTTCTTGAGTAGATATTATTGTTTTGGTGACTGCACTGATCTGGAGATCGGCTTCTAAGAGGGTGCACACTGACTGTAACCGTCTCCATCTGCTTGCTCTTTTTTTCTTCTAACTAGGGAAGTTGCTCTAACCTGGGAAATTTGATATTTGGATGCTTTTGGTAATAAAAATAAGCAGAGTAATCGCAACAGTGCTAAGTGAGGCGGCACGGGCTGGTGCAGGTGGGATATGGATGTGCTCAGCATCCAAAGGGCTCTCTCCTAATAACAGGAAAATGAAACCTTCATCAGCCACGATACCAATCGAGCAGCACAAGCGATGCCCACGCCTGGTCCACAGCTCAGGACGAGGCACCTGAGCCATTTGTTCCTTGGTTTGAAAGCAGGAGAAGCAGCTACCAGCATCCAGCCTGCCCAGCTGCTGAGCACACACCAAGTTTTAGCATCAATTCCTGCTCTCAACCCTTATCACAAGCTCTCTTGAAGCAAATCCAACCTTGATTTAAACGCAGCTGATGGGAAATCCATCACGTACTTAAGCAAAACCAGTAATAGCCGCTGGAATTAAGTGTTTGACTTCCTTATGCTTGCAAGAATATAGTTGCAGGTTTCCAGTCATTAGTTCTTTATATGGCTTATAAAAAACAGCAGGTTAAAGAGCCCTTTCCACCCCAAATATGTACTTACAGATTGCAATAACAGCAATTCTATAAAGATGTCCTGGACAAAGTACAAATTTCCCATGTGTTTACCAAAAGGCAGGCTATGGAAAATAAATACCATAATTCTTTCCTGAACTGTTATTAATCAGCACTCACTCCCTCAGCTGCTGCCTCGAGCGGGAAGCTCTTATTTAGGTGGTATTCACGTAGCAGAAAATCCTTCCCAAAGCAGCCTGGGCTCTAACGGAGGTTTTACACAGTGGCATGCCCATAAATGAGTGTGCAAATACACGTGGCGTGAGTTCAGGGCAAGGCAACCCTGCAGGAAACGAGCACTGGACAACATAAGGATGAAAATGGGTAGATTAACAAAAATAAAATCCATACATTGAGTATTTTATTTGGCCACATCTCCTGGAAATCTGTTTTCATCGAAAGAATAAACAGTGTTAAGCGTTAGCTGCTGAGGTTATGTGTAAATACGGGAAAGGATTGACTTAGGTAATTATTGGCAGTTAGAGAGCGTACGGCCAGACAGCCTGGGTATGAATGAGAAAAATCTTGATTTTTGCACAGCCTCACGGTATTGTAGAAGAAACCGAGGCTTCGACAAAATTGCGTGCTTGAATTTAAGCGGACCATCCTCAAAATTAAAGCTAAAAGCTATCAAACAATGGAATTTAGCATACCCCACTCCTCTCCTTTTCATATGGACATTTACTAATAGGATGTCCCCAGCTGCGACGCCTCCTGCATGTATGTGGCTACCCAAATTTAAGCTAAGGTGGTGTTACAAGACCAACCTCTCCTTCCTAATTCTGTCTCAAGACCTTGAGGGATCCGTTTCAATCCGTGCTCGTTGCTGCTCTACCCTTCTCTCCTCGGAAGCACAACGGTGAGGAAGGAGCTCCAGCAACCCAACTCAATTTGCATTCAAAACGAAGGAATTACACGATATTGTTATTGTTATCTTGCACTGCAGCTCAGCAGACAAGCTCGGAGAGAGAGAAGGAACGTCCCCGGCAGACAATAGCACGGTGGCAGATTGCTTTGATGGCTCCTGATAAGCGCAGGATTATTATTTATAAATAGAGAACGACTGGCTTTCAGGCACCAAACTGCTCAACTTCTCCTTTTCAAACATCATTTGTATTTCTGAAGTGTACAGACCTCCCAAAGAAACTTGCTAATTAATTTACAGAAGCAAGGAATTTGGCTATAATTTAATTCCTTCGCCCTGCTTTGTATAAGATCTTTTTGCCTTTTTTTTTTCTTTTTTTTTTTTTTTTTTTGGTGCAGTAGTATTGTTCTCTCTAAATTAATTAGGTAAGCGTGTGCGGTTATTTGAATGTGTGCTTCCTCATTTTTTCCAGCACTTGCTGAAACTTTCCACTTGGGACTAAGCTTTCAGAGCTCAAAGAAAAGAAAGCTTCTGTAAAAAAAGGTGAAAACGTGCATTTGAAATGAACTGTGATTCTCCAAGCAGCATTACCTTGTGCCAGGATCCCAGTGGGACCATTCCTACCTGCAGGCATCCCTTTCTTTTTGTTTTCTGTCCCCATCCTGTTGAGGAGCAGCTGGGTGGGATGCCAGCAGCCAGCCAAGCCTAACCACCACAAGCTACTTCTCTTTGGTAGCAGAGGTTGAAGGCTTTATCACTCTTTAGTTTATAAGGGGAGAGAAACAACAGGCTTGAGTCAGGTAAGGTGAATTTTAATCCTTCCCCTGCCCCCCAGGGGAGCAGTAATCCCTTCATCTGAACATTTTGTTTTGCTAACCTCTATCACATCGCATGACAAATGTTTCTACCAAGAGAAGGTCCGGATATTTCCAGACCCACCACAACGTCAAATCAAATCCTTAAGCCACAGGCACTCCGACTGAAAAAAAAAAAAAAAGAAAAGATTGCTTTCATGTCTATCCCTCGTTTTCTCTTCCATTTCGTTTGGAAGGTGTAAAGACGATCATAAATTATTTGCCAGGATCGCAGCCAGTTTTGCCACACGTCCTTGCAGAGGTGCTGTGTTTTCACAGCATCTCTCAGCTCTGATCTTGCGATCGCAGATCATAACCACCAGCAGTGGAGAAGGCACATTTTAAAAATACAGAGAGGGGATGCACTACCTAAGCCTTTTTCTTTTGCTACCTTACCTTTTGAAAGAAAGTTTTGTTGTTGTTGTTTTTGCACTAAGCAGGGGAAAAAAAAACACTGCCTTCGCTAATTACAGAAGAGGAAAGCTGCAGCTGAAGATAGATTTCTGCCAACGAGTGAAAACAGGAGAGGCTGAATTAGCAGCAAAGTATCAGAGAGCTCTGAACCATCAAAGCGTGCACACGAGAACCAAATTCCCAAGAGGCTCAATAAGATCTGAATTTTTTGTTTCAGGAACACCACTCATTTCTTATAAGAGCTGCTGTCTGTTCCCATTATCCTGAAATGAGGCCTTGTGCTGCTTGCCCTAAGCCAAAGTCTGACGGACTCCACTGGCTCCTTGTTAGATATTTTCCTCATTATTTGTTCCAGTGTTTTTCTGCTATAAAATTCAAACGTGCTGGGAAGAGACAAACGAATGTGAATTCCCCCCTCTCCCCTCCCCAGGCGGCGTGAGAGGCCATTTAGCCTCTCAGAAAGTTAACAGCCAGAGCTGTGAAAAGGAAGAAGCACCGACCCGTCCACAAATGATCAGAAATACAGACGGATGGCAAAATAACACTCTGAAGCTGAGACAGCTGAAAGAACTCTTCCAGCTTTTCTGTGACACACAAAGCTCGGTGGCAGCCTTAATTTCAGCCGAGAAAACTGGAGAAGTAAGATTCACAGGCAGGGAACTTAATTGACATTAATGACTGCAGAAGTAGTGATGCCTCAGTGCTGCCCCGTACGTAGGGAACAGCGCACGGCTCTGAGGCTCGTGGTGATCCTGGAAGCATTTTGACTTTTCCACCACCTCTCATTTAGTGAGAACTATTTAGTGAGAAATTATGCAAGCCGTTTGCTCAGGAGAAGCATCTCAAACAATTTCTGAAAATGCAGCATCCCTGCCCGATTTCATTCGCGGTTACACATTAGCAGGCAGATCTAGAAAGGAAGGAGATTTTGAAGGAATGCCTTCTTCAGACCCCTCTTTTGACGCCCAGTTCTTGGTGAAATACTGCAGTGGTAACCATCCCATTTAACTGATGGATTCATTAGATGGAACAGCAAGGTGCTGCTCACTTGGCTGAGTTTATAACACTGGCTGACACAGTTAAACTGTGGCAGCTCCCAAACTGCAGTCTGTGAAGCTTGGCAGATCTTATCAGGGCTGAAGCATCCAAGTAACCTGGCTTTAAGTAGGTAAATTTGGCAGCTAGTCCCGACAGATTGCTTTTCTAGTCACTGGAGAAAGAGGACCTCTTCCAGTGAGTATTTGGGGACAATAACTTTTGGGTAATCTGTGAGGTAGGAATTACTTGTCACTCTCTATTAACCATATAAAAAGACCAGCTTCATATACATCTAAATGAGGTACACAAAGTTAGGAAATGTGAATATTTCCCTACAGTGTCAGCTCCTTACCTTTGCATCACACTGCTTCTAAAGGGCTCCAAACTCTTCCATGTGATGAAGAACATGGAAGCTTGTAGAAGGAACTAGAAATTGGGATAAATCAGCCTAGCTGCCCCAGAAGGAGTGACTGCAGCTTGAGAATCAAGGGACATAATCAGACAAGTGAAAAAAAGTGAGGTAAAAGCGTGCAGCTCTTACCTGACAACACTCTGACTTCTGCATCATTCCCGGTCCTTGAACTGGCTGGGTTTTTCGCCAGGCACCTGTAGATCCCACTGTCCCCAGGCTGAATCCTGCTGATTTGTAAAGCTCCAGAGGGCAAGACGGCCACCCGTGCGTCGGCCGGGCTCAGGAATAAATCCTCCTGGTTTCGCTGCCAGTGCACCACAGGCATGGGCTCCCCGACGACTTCGCACTTGAGCAGGATCGTGTCTCCCGCAAAAGCCGTGACCGATTCCGTCTGGGAAAGAAACCTCAGCGGTCCTGCAAACACAAGCAAAAGAAGCAGTTAGATAGCTGCTGAAAATAGAAGTCCTTCGCTGTTTCCATGTCGATTTGGATTCTGGTAACATTCCAGACTTCAAAATAAAAATAAATAAAGAAAGAATTGTGATGTTCTGAAACCTACTTGGAGATTGCTGTAATGGCTGGGTGACTAACACCTTCTTTTGTAAATTATACTCATTAACGGCAAAGAAAAGATGTGTTAAAGAGCAACAAATTGCATCTGTTACTAACAAACCCACTCAGGAACAACTTGAAGGAAGTACAGACGCTATCGTGCAACACAAACCTCTCAGAAAAGCATTCAAAGGAGGGTACAACTGAACCTACACGGGGTTAGAAAAATGTTGCAGTCTCATCTTTCTGCATTTCTCCTCGCCCTTCCCTCTGAAGAAGAAGAAAAATGATCTGAAATGTCTTCTCTTGAAGAAATCCTTTAGGTCACAGTCAAATACTTCAAAGAGGGAAGGGCCTGTGTCTGCTTTCCTAAGAAACGTTTTTGTCTTACAAGGGGAAGAGAGCAGAGCTAGGAGCTTTAATTGCCTAACTCCCAAACACCCCAGCCTTAATCCTGTAGAAACATGATGGCCACATCCTTCACGTGCTACAGAGGAGAAAAAAAAAAAACAACAGGACACAGACTGCAAGATGCAAAGAGGCAACCCCAAGGCCAGGCCAGAGTGAGGCCTAAAGTGCAGGCGCCGCTATGGGAAGTCGGCCTAGTAAATGCAGGCCCTCGGAGAAGTATGCACAAACACACATTTGAAGGAAGGGAAAACTTTAAATAAGACACTAAAAGCAACTGAAAAATATAGAGGAAACGAGCATCTTTCAGATTATGAAGGCTTTCACAAGGCGTTTGTCCAAAGGCGCTGTTAAACTAAGGAAGCAGAGGAGGAAGGCCCTGAGTTTCCTGACATGAAATTGGCACTCGGGCATTCAGCAAAGGCATTATACTAGGGAATAACAGCACAAGGAAAGAGCAGGAGCTTCATTTCGTGGTTCAGACACCCGTCTTGGGGTCCCCCACTAGGTTTCAGTGCTCCCATCCCACAGAGCACCCTCAAGGCTGCCACATCACAACATGGACGCAGTGCTCCCAGGAGCTGAGGCAAGGGGATTCCCCACGAAGAAAAACAGGCTCAGGAAAGGTTTCCTGAGGGATTTCTACACATAACCAGGAGCCTACATTGCTTCTTTACTGCGTGGTGGTGCTCCCAAATAGCTGTGTGTATTCAGGGATAACTGTGGTGGGAGCTTTTTACCTGAAAAAGTTGGAAGAGACGGTGTGAACAGCAAGGGAAGACTGTTGAAAAGTACAGATTTTCCAGCAGGAAAAACATCTAAATTTAACAGTGCACTGTAAAAACTAGGACTAAAACAGTTGCCATAATAGAGGAACCCCCCTACGTCCTGCCCCAGAAATCCATGCAATAATCCCAACAGCTTTTTTTCAGGCAAGGAAAACAACTTCTAGCATAGACAGACCGACTCCTCACATGGATTCGTGGTGTAACTTTTTATTTCTCTCTTTTTATTTCTCTCTAGCAGTGTTCCCAGCAGTCCCAAACCTGCCGTGCCCCTGCACGTTGCCCTGTCGCTGCACCGTCTCCCGTTCTGCGGTGTCACAACATCTCCAAGTTTTAAAAATTCATAACATCTGTGCATAGCAAATCAGGATGTCACCAAAACCTTCTTGCTGTGCCTCAAAGAAAAGCACCAGCCACCTTTTTTTCCGTGGTTACGTTCAGGACTCATTCATCTCTTTGCAGGACCACAGCATACAAGACCTTAAAACCATCTCTGGGTCTTCGCAGGTCTCCTGGCTGATGCTGATTCATTCTCAGACAGTTTTTGAAGCTACGCAGATGTTTGGGTTGTTGGGAGCCGGCTCGGGGGAACAGAGCAGCAAATCCCTTCTGAGAAAGTCACTTTCCGAGACAGGCTCCGGAATTAAACATCACAGATTCACGGGGATGCTTCGCTCTTGTAGCCAAAGGGTCGCAGATGCACCTCGCTGCATTACACCCAAACCTACTTAAGAAACCTAATTGAAAGCAGCACCCAGCTCTGATTTACCATGCAATCTGGTTGGCAGCTTATCAGGATCCCCATCTTTCCTTACAGAAGACCCAATTATTAAGCAATTAAAGTTCATTTAATAAAAAGGCTTATCATTTGGGGGACAGACCTCAGGCTCTGGTGCATGTTTAGCTATTAAATATTCAGCAATTTAATAGCACTCAGCACAATCCCCCAGAGAAGAACTGCTTTAAATGCTTTGTTTGTTTCAAATTAAAGTCTGCAAGGTTACTTAACATCAAGACAAGACCTTTTTTCACTTTCAATTCGCACAATAGCTGAAGGGCAGGAAACCAAGGTAATGAAAAAGAGCGATTTCCTTCTGCTTGCTTCAGAAAATGCGAGAGAGAAAGCATGGGTGAGCGAATCTAGAAATGTAAATATTTTAGGAACTGCTAATTCACTCTTCCACCGGCTGGTTTCCAAAGGAAAAAAAAAAAAGAAAAGAAAAAGGTGCTACGCTTTTGTTACTCAATGTCCTCTTGTATTTGCTAGCTCCAATTTACAATTCTAAAAAGTTTTGCAGGGTGATGTTCAGCAGAAGCAATAAACCAAGGTGTAGACGCTTCACTAAATAACCTAAGTAGAAATGTGGTCTGGTTTGTTTGCAGAAGCACACGCTAAATAAATGGCTCCCTTTGTACAGAAGCAGCATAACCCACACTGATGGAGAGCTGGGCACTCAGAATCCCAATTTGGAAGATGCGATTTGGAAGAATCCCCCTTGCATTAATCTGCTTGGGTAACCCAGGGGAATTACCAGCCAGGGGGAATTACCTAAATGAGGTGACTCGGTTAGTTTGTAGGTATGAATACCCAGATGGGATTAATTAAGAGCTCGTGGCCACTGCCAACAAAGCAGGAGGATTATTATTTTATTATTTCTAATATAACTCAGCATACTGACTATGCAGAGCATATTTAGAAGCTGGATAAACCCGGGATGCACAGCTGAGCTGAAGTCTGGACCTAAAACATACCATAGAGAGACAAGGATTTATTTTAAACACAATCAGCCTAATGTTTTTCCCGAGGCCTGCTGTAAAGGTGCACTCCATTTATAATTTGTCTGTTTGTGCATGCCCACACCTCCTCCATCCTCCTCGAGCCGCAGACTGATGCTGCAGCAGCCCCTTCCTTCCCTGTTTGGCTGCCCAATATCGATCACTGCTAAGCTTTCAGTCCTCAGATACTTACGTATGCCTAACTCCTAGCGTGCTGTCAAATTTCATGTATACCACCCAACAACTTCAGCTAATTTTGAGGTAACTAGCGCAATTACTTCACCCGGTAATGTTATTTGAAAGCTAGACATCTCTCAGCTATTTGGAGTGCAACAGGATTGTTAAATCAAAGCGAGTATGCCTCGGTGAATATAACGTCAATGTGGGCAAAATGAGTTTTGATTGTGATTTATGACACGCACGCAGGATTGCCTTGATTTCTTACGACCGTGGAGACTCGCGTAAGCAGAGCTAACTAGAAGTTAACGTGGCTGTTGGAAAGTAAATGAATTATAGGTAATGACAGTATAGACAGAAGGGTCAGCACCACGCATCAACCGATAAAACTGTTCCAGCAAGAAATATTCAAAGGGCGTACCCACGAAAGCGATTATAAGGAGCTAAGAAGGATCAGAGAAGCAGAACACCGCAGCATCCTCGGAAACAAACCCCCTACTGCCCTAATTTGCTCCCTGACCCCATGTTATTCCTGCAGAAAGGCAGCAGAAACCCGCTCACGAGGGCTGTCACAGCCCCGTGGAGATGCCCTGACGCAGACAAGGAGCTGACTCTAAGATGCACGTTCAAAGACTGCGAGGTAGCAAAGCCACAGAAAGTGGCAACCCATTTATAAAAGGGGGCAGCTTCTGAGTGAAATAAAAATAAATCTTTAGGCTTTTTAGCCACTTCTGAAAACGCTACAGTCATTGACTTACATACATCTCCGCAGCCCTCCTGGGAGCAGGATAATTTAGTTGATCTCGGATAGCAGCATAGCTCTGCAGAGAAACTCTCTGCTGGGTCAACTTATAAAAAAAAAAGTCAAGGAAATAAGGCAGAGGTTTTAGAATTGACTTTAAGCATAATAGCGATACATATGTAAACATTATAAATTAAATAATTACCTAAAAATGTAATAATTTGGTAATATTACCTGTAAATAACCATGTAGTGCATAGATATAAGAGAATTTAGGGGAGAGCTTGAACTCAAAGACTTAAACCGTGTTGCAACCCTATTTAGCCACAGGTCTCCTAGCATCCTCCCTTTCTGAGGAGCTTTTAATCCTGGTGGTTTCGTGTTATATCATATCCCTATTAGTGCCAGGAGAGCCTCCACGTCAAGCCACCTCTTCCTCCATCAGCCCTACCCTCACATGGACACCTTCATATAGGTGCTGATGAACTCCGAGAGCGGATGAGAGAAACCACAAATCTTAGGTTCTGAACATCCCACGAGCAAAGGAAGAAAATTTCACCTTTCCCAGCATGGAGGCCCATCAGAGGTCTCCTCCAGCACCGCAATTTTCTCCTAGAGTACAGCCCATTACGAATATTACAGCCCCGATTCTTGGCAGCAGCCTAAATCCACCAAGAAAAGCGAGCTGGAGGGAGATGGAGCCAGGATCTGCCCTTTGATGCCTCTTCCCCCATCACAGAAAATAAATGAACTTATTATTCGGCAAAAAGACTTCTCCCTAACCCGCGTTACCGATGTCAGATCAGATTATCAAACCTGCAAGAGTTTTAAAATCTAATTTACTTGGCACCTTTTATGCCGGATTGCTTGCTGCCTTCGCTCAGCGTAACGCACGGAAACAATCTATTTTTGCCGTCCACATATTTATGCTGTAGGGGGTTTTCATCAAGGATTCGACGCCTCGATGGTCGGTTC